TGTGTGCTAAGGACACCTTGTTTGATCTTGTCGCACACAAAATGACAATCATCTCAATATGTTTGGTACGCTCGTGAAAGATAAGATTGGTTGCAATCTGCAGAGCAGCTTTGCTATCACAATAGACCTCCACAGGTCGCTTAATAGGCACTCCAAGTTCAGAAAACAGGCCTAACAACCAGACCACTTCTGCTGTCACAACTGCTAGGCTTCTATACTCTACTTCTGCAGAGCTTCTTGACACTACGTGTTGTTTCTTGGATTTCCAAGAGGTGAGTGTTGATACCCAATTTTTCCCTGTATATTTTTTATATGCAAAATATCTTTAAAATAGCATATATATGCATATATAAGTATGTCCAAGCATTTTACTATTTTTTCCATATTTTTTAAGGTTTTTAAACTGATTTATTTCCCTTTTTCATCCATAAAAACCCAGTGATTATTATTTTTGGTAAATCATTTATTGGAATTTTATATTTATGCTAAAATATAGCTAACATAATTTTTGTATACTTTTACAAATTTATTTAGTATTTTTAGAGCTAAATTACATATAATTGCAATATTAGCCTATTTTAAGATTTAATTGCGTTTATAATTATAAAATTGACTCCGGTATTGTTAATTTGATATTTATATATTATTAATTATTTTAGTACCTTTAATTTATTTCCAGAAATTATTTTACTATTTTTTATAAAATAAATGAGGGAAAATGCTATTTAAATGATAACCATTTGCATTTCAATTTTAGCCGGATTTGAGCCTCTAATTAAACCCAATTCCTAAACCCAATTACCCAACCCAATTACCTAATCTACCCGACCCACGACCCTTTTAAATAACCCGCCCGGACTCTCTTTTTAATCCTAGCCGTTGATCAAGTGATCAACGACTCATATTTTGCCCCTTCCTTTTTTAACCCGACCTAACCCCTAAACCTAATCATTTCCCTTCTGTAGCCGCCCTTGAATTCCCCCCTTCTCTCAATTCTCTCTCGAAGCTTCTCAAACCCTAGCCGTCTCCCTCCACTTCCACCCCAAAATCACCGGAATCCATGGCTTCCAAGGCCATCGAAGTCCTATTCCTGCCTCCTATGACTCCTACATGCCTGGATACTATGGTTTCAAGGTCAAGCCTTGAAGAAGCTTGGCCCAGACTTTGTTTCATTCGAGTTCTATGGTTGTCTCCGACATTGCTCCGGCCAGCCATGGCTGTTCGAGCCTGATCTCGACTTCTCCGGCTCAGATCAATGACTTTCCAAGCCTTTCTCATCACCTGGGTTCTTCTGAAACCCTAACCTTTCGAGGTTTTTCCGATTCTTTTAGATCCTTTGTATATCAGTGTTTTCTCTAAGCTTTTAAA